GCAGGGTGTCAGCCTAGGCTGCCTGGGGTTCAGTTTAGCACCAACCTGTCTCTCAGTTTCTCTGGGAAAACGGCTTATTTCCAAATTAGGGAGCACATAGTAAGTAGGCCTTCCTGAGGCCCATGGGGTAAATGGCAGAAGTTGCTGAGCTTGGCTACCATGGCTCAATCTTCTTGGCTTGCTATTTCTACACACCCCGGCTCATTCCTGACATCTGCTCCCAGCTCTAGAAGTGGCCACTGCTAATGCAGGCTGGAGTTGGGCTGGGTGTTTGAGGGACACTTGTGGGGTGGGGTACTGAGCACCAGAATAGATGGCTCTGGAATATCTTTTTGGTTGACCTTTGGCTTTCTAAACAAGGGCAGAAACAGTGAATACTAGGAACAGATGAGGGGCAGATTGTTTCTGTCACTTCAGTGGCCTGAGGCTTGGAGGCCACCTACATTAAAGACCTTCCTATGATCCCATTTGTTGTGGGATCCTCTGAGAAGGAAAGCTGCAGAGGTCCCACAGTACCCATGGATCTGAAGTGGATGGGGAGCAGTTGTCACTACCCTTTCTCTGCTCAGGGTAGCAGTACTTTAGGGAGACTGACCAAGACACTCCTTGAATGAGCCTAGCATCTCAGTGTTATGTCACTCATCTGTGTCTCAGGCTACACAGTCCTGTGGCTATGCCTGTTAGTCTGAGATTGGCCATGACCATGTTTGCATTTGTTGGTCAGTAATTGCTCATTGACTGGGAATTGTGAATAGGGAGTTTTTGTAGGAGGCAGGAGCCACCTACGAGTAAATGAGGGTTGCACTTGGAGGTGGTGAGCCATTCCTTTGTATTTTTAAAACTCTAACCAAAATCTTTGTTCTGAGATGTTTATCTGAAAATTCTTATGACCAGAAGAATAATTGACTCAGGGCAATTCTCAGAAAAAAAGAAAAGAACAAAAATTTTGGTCTTTTTTTGGCCAATCCAGTGTCCTGGCTGCTGTGTGGCCCTTCTTCTTATGTTCTGCATACAAGTCTCAGAGCAGACGCTGGCCAAATCTCCATCATAACCAGCCCAGGGTACCTGGAGGAACCCAAAGATGCCTCAGTATGGACATTCTGGCTGTCTACCACACAGGGATAATCTCTGGGAAGGACGAAAAAGCCAGAGGGTTAGAGGGAAAGGACATGGGGAGGGGAGGATCCTCCAGGTGCTTTGTGTCTCTTGACCATTGCAATCCAAAGGCTGAAGGAAAAGAGGAAGGAGGCATATGGACACGGGAGCCTGATTCTGCCAAGTTTTCTCAGGCTTTCCAAAGGTACCAAAGAGGTATTCTAACTAATTCATTCTAAGATGCAATGCCCCTCCCTTCCATCTCAGTGTCTATAAAGTCAGAATGCTTTTTTGTAACTGACAGCATTTTAGGATGTGCTATAATGGTATTCTTTTGCTTTCTTGGTGTTGCCTAAGTCAACACTGAAGCCCACATTCCACTATGAGAGCCTAAAAAATGTGGCTTGCTTAACAGCAGTTGGCTAGAGCAGGTGACCTGGGAAAGGAGAATCCTCTAGGCTAGCTCACTTACATGTTTGTCCTGCAGCCAGGGTGCAAACATAAGCTTTACCTCATCTTGGAACATCTTTCCCTTTATAATGCATCCCCATGTGGTCTTTCTTCTGTTCATGAAGCCCTGGTAACTCTTTTGATGTCCAGAGTTCCTCTTCCTATGGGACACATTAAAATAGGGCCTATCTTAGGGGCCTCATTTTAAGTTAATTTCTCATTTAAGGGTCCAGTCTCCAATCACCTTCTGAGATAATGTGGTTAGGGCTTTAGCATTTGAATTTTGCAAGGCAGATGTGAGAAACAGAATACAGCCCATTACTGGGTTCTTGGGCTACATTACTTTTGAGCACTTGTGAATCTAGTGGCTGGTGTTAGCAAGTGCATTTCAGGGTCAGAGAGGCTTCCTTCCCAGGTCTACAAGTGGAACCTTTGATTCAGTTCAGCAAACATCTGTTCAATAATCAGTGCCTGCAGACCACAGAGTAGGGAGTCAAGAAAGAACAAACCGTGTTTTTTTTTGTCTTTTTTTTTTATGTGTTTACTCCATGAAAATGAAGCAGGCACCACACATGGTGCAACCCTGAGAAGGCCCCACCTCAGTGAGAAAGCAGACACTCAAGTAGGGGTATTCCAGGACAGAACCTGGAATGGAGAAGCAGGAGTCCTGAGGAGGGTGAGAGACAGACAGCCCAGGCTATTTCAGGAAAGGAGAAGTCCCAGTCAGTCTTTGAAGCATGTGTACCGTCACATGGGAGTTTTCCAGATACTTGACTCTAGTGAGAAATGGGGGTAGTAGTGAGGACTTGTGGACAGTTGTTTAGAGGTTGAGACAGTGTATCTAGAAATCACTTGGCAAACTTTCAAGGCTGTAAGTACATTGCCTCCATCATCTTAGCTCACCACTGTGCTGTGGAACCACAGGTCTGGTCTGATGTGAGAAGGGGTCGAGGGAGGTTTTACAGGGAACTGGGAATCGTGGCGAATACCACTGGCCAGACAAGGCAAAGGGCTACAGGCAATGGACAGGAGAACGGAGAGATCTGGGGTAGCGAGCGGTAGGCCTAGTAGTATAGTCCTATTATTCTGGTGACTGGGAAGGCTGAGGCAGCAGGATTGCTAGTTAAAGGTCTTCCTGGGTGACTGAATGAGTTTAAAGCTAGCCCCAGTGATTCAGTAAGGCTGTCTCAAAATAAAAGAGGACTTAAAGATGGCTCAGAGGTGCTGCTTAGCAGGTACTACATTCAATCCCCCAGTGCTGAGAAAGAAAGCAAACAGGCGTGAAGAGTTGCTCTAGATTCCAGTGCAGGTCAATAGATGCTGATTGAATAAATTAATGTCAGAAGCAACCCGGCTGCCTGATCAATATGTCCATACAGGTCTCCTGCTGTGCTGGAGGAGGGACCCATTGGCTTTGCTGAGTATGGACAGCGTCAATAGGGACATGATGCTTCACTGACTTTGAACTGGGAAACTTGCTGTAGGATTGCACTCCATGTCGCACCACTGTGAATTAGACATTTCCCTTTCCCCAGGGATCTCAGAGTGGTGGTGCCAAGTAGGAGACCAGACATCTGCTTTTTTTCCCATTTTTATCCCAAGTGACATTGACTGGTTGCTTTCAAGGGCATCTGGGTGGTGGAGCTCCTGGAGATCATAGTGCTTTGTGTGGAATGCCCGATACATTTCACTGCATCCCATCAAATAGGAACGCGATTGTTAGCATTGTTGGGACTATGTTACGTGTGCATCATTTCAGTCACACCACAACCCAAGCCAGATGCCTCTCAAGTCTGCTCCTGAGTCCCTCCACCCCACCCCACCACCACCCCCTGCTACATTTTCTCTGGGAATGCATCACTGTCAGCCCTAGGGAAATCCATGTTTTGCCATGGGTGTTTCTTTTCCTTCTTAGCCTCATTCCCCTTTCTGTCCCCACTGACCCTATCATCAGGCTCCATGACACTGAATTCTAAGGTCTACGTCCTCTTCCATTGCTTCCATTCAGTGGCTGCCACCTCTTACTGGATTTGTGGTTAGCTAACTTCACTCTACGTTTTCTTCTGCCCTAAGCAGCCAGTGAACTTTCCAGAACCCCAATTTAATGCTGTCATTCCTTTACTCAGTCATTTTGGCCTATGAATGTCCCTCTATTTAATTTTCCTCAACCTCATTACCATGCCCTACATTTTTAGCTCAACAGAATCGCTTGCTGTTCAAACTATGCTATGTTCTCCCTGGATGAAACATCATCCAACATTTAGTTGCTTAGCAGACTCCTCCTCCTTCATCTCAGGCCTACCACAAGGTGTGTCCTGTGGAACCACGTCACCCTGCTTCTGCTGTGGACCTCACTCATTCACTATGTACTATGCTCAGATTCATCATTCTTCAAGGCAGACCCGAACATGCGTTTTCTGCTGCCCTTAGATAACATCTAAATGACTTTTCAGTCCCTCTGTGATCTCACCTATACAGCTGCTCTGATTCAACTCATGCCAAGATCCTCTAGGCTTCTGCTCTCTCAAATCTCTTTTAAGCCCTCTAACATGGCAGGTGGGGCTTTCTGTCTGGACCCTTCCCATAAATAATCTCAAGCTCTCTACATGTCTAATTCCTATATATCCTTCAGGTCTTAGTTGAATGTGACTTCCATCAGAAAGCCTTGATTACATACATGAACTAGGGTGTGTATCTCTCTCCCCATTCTATTTTCTAGTCCCTATACATGGCAAAGATTACTGCTTGATTAATTGGCTATTGTTTTCTTTCTTATAGGATTAAAGATTGAATCCAGGGCCTTGTATATACTAGAAAAATACTGTACCACTGAAATATACCAAAACATCTGCTCTTTTAGTTCTTTGAATTTTTGAGACAGAGTTTCACTAAGTTGTCAGACTGATTTTGAACTCACTCTGTAGCCTAGGTTAGCCTTGCATTCTCTATCCCCCTGCATCAGCTCTGGGGTTGGGGGTTGGGCAACTGGAATTACAGGCTTGTGCCACTGAGCACAATTGCTATTATTTCTTCTAGAATGTAAGATACAAAACCATGTATATTTTGTTTGCCTGTATTTTCTATCCACCTATAAAATGATGCTTAATACATGTTAACTACTATCAAGAATTAATGATTAATTAGCTTACTGTGCATATGAGTGGGTTGAACAAATGAAAGAATGGATAAGTAGCTCTTTTGAAGTTTGTTTATTCTATTACACTTGAAAAATGTGTGTTATTCATTTATTATACCATCTGTTAGAAAGAACAGAAGCAGGTCCAAACATTATAAGGTCACTGAATATGAGCATAAAAACCTTGGGTTGGAGAATTCTCTACTCTGCTAGTGCTTGGGTTTTCTTCAGGGAAGCGTGCCTGGAAAGCCCTGCTGTTCACTATCTGTGTTCATTTCTCCCGGCCAGAGCCTTGCCACCCAGTGGCCCCGCTGCCCCAATGGATCCACTGAACCTGTCCTGGTATGATGATGATCTGGAGAGGCAGAACTGGAGCCGGCCCTTCAATGGGTCAGAAGGAAAGGCGGACAGGCCCCAGTACAACTACTATGCCATGCTGCTTACCCTTCTCATCTTTATCATCGTCTTTGGCAATGTGCTGGTGTGCATGGCTGTATCCCGAGAGAAGGCTTTGCAGACCACCACCAACTACCTGATAGTCAGCCTTGCTGTGGCTGATCTTCTGGTAGCCACGCTGGTCATGCCTTGGGTCGTCTACCTTGAGGTAGGTCTGGGTCCCTGCTTTGCTCTAGGAGGACCTTGTACTGGAGTCTGGATTCGTAAACCCCAGCGGTTTCTGCCACTTCCCCCAGGTAGTCTTTTCTTCTCCTCTAGATTCAGTTTTTCTCTTTATGGAGTAGACAGTCATAATAATTATGATTGTCATTCATAGTGTGCTTTCTAAGCGCAGGCCCCCTGCTAAGTGTTTTATATACAGAGTCGTCCCATAGGATCCTCACAGCACTGTCACCATGTTGCAGATGATGGGCCAGCTGGTCAGAGAAGACCAATCTCTTCTCTACTCACACAACTGGGGAGTCCAAGCTAGAAATCTGTCTTGCCCTGAGATTACTTCAGTAGATTGCACTGAAGCAGGACTAACTGGTGGGGGTCCCTAGAGTGGGGTTGTGATAATATCTGTGCTCCACAGCCTGAAACTCTTCAGCACTCTCCACATCTCAGAAACTGGAGCTGCTGTTCTGTGCTGCCCCTAATTCCTTCTCCTAGTCTATTCTAGTACCTGTATCCTGGTAGAGGCAACCATGGGCAGCCCGTGCTGCAATGCCTTTCCCAGGGAGGACAATGCATTCTGCTTCCCCTCTAAAATAATGGTGACATGGAGGCTGAAAGTCAACAGAACCCATGTCCTTATTAGACTGTGGGATAGTGACAAATCTCTACACCAACTGTATTGGGATCTCTGGGAGCCTCAGTCCCTCAAGAAGATGTCATTCATAATTTTTCACCATTATTTTAGAGGGGAAGCAGAGTGCTTCAAGAGTCAAGGTGCAGAAAGGCTTTCTTGGCCCCACCCCTTTCCACTTAGACAGCTGAGGGAGAGATTTCTGAGAGAAGGTAGGGAGAGAGTGCCTGCCTATCCAGGAACTTCTAGTTCTCACATCCTTCACAGAGAGAGTCGCCATGAGCCTTTCAGAACAGATGAGATCAGAGTCAGGTGATCACTTATTCGACACTGATTGTACTTTTTGTCCTACTCTTCTCTTAAGCCTGGGACCTGAAGAATTTCTGTGCCATGGATGAAGAAACTGATGAGGGCTTAGGCAATACAGTCTGCTTGAAACAGCATGGACAGGCCTCAATAGGAGGCTGAGGACATGCATCCAGGCAGGAAGTACTGAGAAAGCTTGTAGCAAGGAGGAATCACTGCTCCTAACTACTCTCCCAAGTAGCTGCTCCTGGGATAATAGAAACAGCATCTTCATTCTTCACCCAGGATCTGGGCAAGCTGAATAGGAGTGGGTTTGAGAGATTCTTGAAGGCAGGCACTGTCTGGACCATTACCCTATGTATCCAGAAGTCTAGACCAGAGTGTAGCACACCCTAAGATGCTAAATAGATGTCTGTAGAAAGGATGAATGACAAGTGGGAGAGACGATGGGCAGAAAGATGGAGAAGAGGTCTTTGGCATCTCAGACATGGGTCCTCAAAGACATGAAGGCAGCTTCTATATACCAGTCTCAGGAGGAACTCCAAAGCTGGTGTGAACCAGATGGACATAGTGCCCTGCCTAGTGGTCTTTTGAAAATCTTGGAAGCCGTGTTCATTCTTTACAGCTGGATATCCAGTAGTCATCGGCTACCACAGTGCAGGAACAGGTTCATGTGAACCCCAAGAAGGTATACACAGAGAAACTGCTGCTTCATCCATGGAAGGTGGTGGCAAATCTATTACCCCCAACGGAGCTTACATAGAATGCTTGGTTTTGTGTCTGGGAAGGGAAGAAAGGGCAGTCTGATAATGAGCAATATGACAGTTAGCATGGGGCCCTGCTGAGTTAGAGAGCACACAGTGGGTGCTTCTCATGGATGGGTCTTTCTCACCCCTCTCTCCTGTGAGTAGAAAGCCAAAGGTTTCCTCTATGGTCAGGGCACTCCAGATTTGCAGAGTTAGCTAGACCTGGGAGGAACAACTTCACCCTAGGTCTGTAAGATGTGCTGCCAAAAATCAGAGAGTAGAGTGACTTCAGTTGTCTCTGTGGTGAATGGATGCTAAATAGACAAAACCAGAGTTGTTGAAAACTCATGGAGATGACTAGGTAATCACCCAGGCATTTTACAGATTAAGGCTTAAAGTTAAGAGTCATCTTTCTTTCTTTTTAGCTTTAGTTTTTTTTTAAGATTTTATTTATTATGTATACAATGTTCTGCCTGCAGGCCGGAAGAAGGCACCAGCTCTCATTACGGATTTTTGTGAGCCACCATGTGGTTGCTGGGAATTGAACTCAGGATCTCTGGAAGAACAGTCAGTGCTCTTAACCTCTGAGCCATCTCTCCAGCCCCGCGAGCCATCTTTCTTCTAACACAAAGTCCTTGGCACAAAATAGATTCACATATCTGAAAGGAGAGAGGTTGGAGGTACAGGCCCCAAGTCCTCCTAGGCATTACTTGCTCCCCACTGCTGCTCAGCATTGACCCGTAAGATTTCTATGACAAATAACAGGGACTGTCAACTGGATGGGACCTAGAACCACCTAGGAGACAGACCTCTGGCATGTCTATGAGGGACTTTCCAACATTCAGTTACCTGAAGTGGAAAGGCACTCTAAATATGAGCATTGCTATCCCGTGGTGTGGAATACAAGGATTGAATACAAAGGGAAAAGCAAGATGGGCACCAGCATTCATCTTTCTCTGCTTCCTGACCTTTGACCCAACATGACCAGATGCCTCAAGCTCTGACCACCCATGCCTTTTCCACCATGTTTAACAGTATCTTAAAACTGTAAACCAAAAATAATTCCTTTATTACATTGCTTTGCCAGGTATTTTGTTACAGAAAGGAGAGATGGAGCTAATATAACTACTGGGGCTGTCCTCTGAGATTGTTGCCCAACCTTCCCTTGTAATGAACCATTGGTAAATCATATCTACAACCCTGCTTTCCATCTATGGCATTGTTTTGTCTCCAGGTGGTAGGCGAGTGGAAATTCAGCAGGATTCACTGTGACATCTTTGTCACTCTGGATGTCATGATGTGCACAGCCAGCATCCTGAACCTGTGTGCCATCAGCATTGACAGGTGAGGGCAACCAGGTGGGGTGAGGTGATCCTGGTCACTCACCTTTCTGCTGAGTGCCTCACCTCTTCTCAGGGTCAGGTTCTGTCTGTGGTGCTGTAATTACTGGCTGTGTGTATGTGAGTCTGTGTGTGTGTGTGTGTGTGTGTGTGTGTGTGTGTGTGTGTGTGTGCGCGCGCGCGCGCGCGTTTGGCTGGGATACTGTGTACTCCCCATGGAATACCCAGATTGTAACTTGTATGAAAGAGTTGGTTCTGACTGGAGCGCATGGGAAGATTGTAGAAATTATTTGAACTCTATGATATATTTTTGGGACATGAAAATGATACCTGTCCCTTAAGTCACAGTGTTGAGTTTGAATTTTGTGTCCTGGTCAAGGGGATCCAGGCCATGCCCACTTTCCCAAGCTGTATCCTTGGAGCCTTTCACTCATGTGTGCTGACACAACATAAAGGTTTCCAGAGGCCCCGCTTTCTCCTCTCACAGGACTATTGGAAGATCAGATGTTATTGATCGAGGAGAGCTTGGTAGAAGAATATGAAGGAGGATTAAAATAGTTTGCCCCTGTTATCACTTATTGCTAAATGGGACTAAAGCCTTGCTCTGAGGGACAGAACTACCAGTTGTCAACAAATTCTTCCACCTTCTGCAGTCCAGTATAGTGAGCATGGTATCAAATGTGCAAAGATCCATCAGAAAGTCTGCAGTCTGGGTGGGGAAATTAATTAGCACAATAGCCCAGGAGTACCCAGTAGCTGCTGCTCATTAAGTGCTTGATTCTTTGTTTGAATGTGGGGACAAGGGAAGGTTTAGTGAGTGAATTCGTCAGGCATCATAGAACCAAGCAGAAGAGGCATCTCCGATGCATCTTGTTGAGTGAGGAGTCTTCTGGCTTGCAACCCAGACTTAGGATCCCCACCTTTGCAGGTACACAGCTGTGGCCATGCCCATGCTGTACAACACACGCTATAGCTCCAAGCGCCGAGTCACTGTCATGATCGCCATTGTCTGGGTCCTGTCCTTCACCATCTCCTGCCCACTGCTCTTCGGACTCAACAACACAGGCAAGTCTGGCCTTTGCCTGGGGCTCAGATAGCTCCATCTCTCTGCTCCATTTAGGACACCGAGTGACTGAGTCTTTGATGCAGATATGGGTGGAAGCCCAATGGTGACCCATTCTTATCTTCAAGGAGGCTGGATGCATCCCCCAGATCCTGTCCAACTCAGAATTGTTCCAGATTAGGCAGGAGAGGAAACAATGGCTCCAGGCATATTGGGACTTGCTGAGGAGCAGGGGAAAATAACTGAGGAGGAGGTCTGACCATTTTCAATTTCATTTAATATGTTGAAGTAAGCTAAACAGCCTTGAACATGTGTGTGTATGCTCCTGTGTTTAGCAGAGAGGTTACTCTATCCATGTCTGATAGTGGTATTTGGAGGATGAGTAAGTGTCCCATGCTGCCTGAAGCAAAAAATCTAGAAACAAGTAGGAGTTGCTCCAATCTCAATACCCTTCCTGTGTGAGGCAGAGTCAGGAGCATCTCAGACAAAAGAGGAACAGAACATTTGCGGTATGCAGTTGCTTCTCAGCAGAGAGGCAAGAGCTAAACAGGTATCCCTGTGGTTCATAGGTTACAGTGAAGCTCAAGAAGTATGTAGTTCAGAATGCAGGTGCCACAGGAATTCCCAGAAATGGGAAAAGACTAATTATACTTAGTCTTTTTGATATAAAATGGGCTTGACATCAACAGACTTCTGGTCTACCTGGAAGGGACTGTGGATGCATATTAAACACAGGTAAGTTAGTTCAGTAAGTAGGTGAGATTAGCCTGTTACCAAAATTATGGAGTGGCAGGGCCTCTCCTTCCCCATTATACAGGAATGGCTTCCTCTTTTGAATATGTTTCCTTGTGTCATTTCTTCTGAATCATGGCTCTCCTGTGTTCTTAGAAAGGACAAAACTAATGAGCAAGTAATTAAAGAAAAAGAATGCAAAACTTGGAAGCAGTCAGTAGTACAGCTTTACTTCTTGCTAACAGTTGGGGATTTCATACCCTGTTTTTTTTTTTCTAAAAAAAAAAATACTGAACATTTATTCACATCTACCATTTCCAGGCAACAGTCACTACCTAGTCTGTAAAATTGCTTCTGGTTCCCAACAAGAGGATGGATGTCCTCTAGTGGTGCTATGGCACAGTGACACTGCTGACACATTGCCCATATGGGTTTCTCCTCCCCCCCAGACCAGAATGAGTGTATCATCGCCAACCCTGCCTTCGTGGTCTACTCCTCCATCGTCTCATTCTACGTGCCCTTCATCGTTACCCTGCTGGTCTATATCAAAATCTACATCGTCCTTCGCAAGCGCCGCAAGCGGGTCAACACCAAGCGCAGCAGCCGAGCTTTCAGAGCCAACCTGAAGACCCCACTCAAGGTCCTCAGACCTCAGCCCCAACAAGGGTCCCTACCTAACTGCTACCAAGAGAGCTAATACTACACTTGGGTGGGGGTCTGAGACATAACAGCAAGGTGGAAGTCTGGGCTGGAGGAGCTGGTGGGCCTGAGTGATGGTGTAGACCTCAGTTGAGTGACAGAATCTTTAGAAAGAGAGGATGGGGTTCATGGTGGGAGCTAACTAGAATTGTCTATGTGAAGAACTCTGTGGCTGCACAAAGCAGTTCTTGCTTGGTCTGGTCCTTAGTTTCTCTCTTCCTCCTCATGTAGTTTTACCTTTCTCACTCTGACTTCTGTACTTCCTCTTTCCTTCCTTCATCTTTTCCTTCCTTCATCTTCTCCATATGATTCTTTCTACCAGCTATGCTCTGCCCTTCCCTCTATGTGCACTCCTGCCTCCTCTTTCCTGTTTCTCTCCTCTGCCCTCTATTCTTTCCCTGCTCTTTTACCATATAATCTCCTTCTTCCACTCAACACTCTACAATGAAGACAGCATGTGGGTATGGAAAGAACAAGAACTTATGGGGGTTAGATTCATCTGGTCCAAATCCTGGTGTCACCACTTTTTTGATTGGATGTATTGGGTCCAAATCCTGGTGACAAGACTTTTTTTTTTTTGATGTGTGTCCTTGGGCATGTTGCTTAGCTTCTGTGAGCCTCAGTTTCCTCGTCTGTTAAATGGGAGTCATGTGCACTTCACAGGGTGGTCTGAAGATTTGATGTGAGAAGGGACGTGAGCATGTGCCTAGCATGATCCTGAACAGGTCCTCCACAAAGAATGAGGTCCTTTGTCCCCTCCCCTTGCCCACCTCTTCTCATCACAGCACCAGCCTTCACTTTTGACCTAACTGTCTTCTGTGGCCACATTCCTCTAATGACTGGGCCTCTGCCCTGAGTTTGAGTTCTCCATGAACTCCCTTGCTTAGGTATCTGTTCCCTTACCACCTCTGCTCTCCACTGTCTTGTGTGACCCATGTGCTGGCTCACTCCACAGGGCAACTGTACACACCCTGAGGACATGAAACTCTGCACCGTTATCATGAAGTCTAATGGGAGTTTCCCAGTGAACAGGCGGAGAATGGTAAGTGTTCAGGTCAGGGACCCAATACCATCTTTCTGCCCCCAGTGGAGTCCACAATCTCTCATCCTAGGACCTCACCAGCTAGCTATTGTAAGGGAAAAGTGCCTCCTGGCACCCCATCTTTGCATCCACTGAGAGCACATTCACTTTGCATACTTCAGAACATGGGTGCAGTGAGATACCTCGATTCTGCAAGGCACGGATACACAGAAGCTTCTTGGGAGAAATGACCTACCCATGTAACCCAGTAAAAGTGACAATAGGGGCTATTTCCACTCCTCAAACATCTGCCATGCTTTCTGCCATCTCATCAAATCCTCATGTGACCCTGGGAAGTAAATCTTATTGGTCTTTAGCTCACAGAAGAGGAAGCCAAGGCTCATGGAGTACAGGTAGCTCACCCAATTCTGAACAGTTAGTGTCAGGCATGTACTGGAGCCCAGGTCTACGTGACTTCTGAATCCACACTGTTCCATTCAGTGTGTGACACCTTCTGGATAGGCAGCTCTGGAGCCAGGAGCTGGTGGCTGGGGTGGGGTGAGGAAGGGGCAGAGCATTTGGGGTGGACAAGAATCATACCCTGAAAGTAGAACTTACAAGTTCAGGTTCGTAGCGTACCTTAGTTCTTCCTGGTACTAGCAGGCACCAGATTTCAAGAAGCAGGCCGTTCATCCTCCAGTTGCATAGGGAAACCACAGAGGATTATATGTAAAGTCCATCAATATGTCTTTTAGATAACAGGGTCCCTCCAATTTGCCTGCATTCCAATATAGGACTCTAATGAGCTATTTGTGAAGCAGGTGTTAAGACAGACCTCAGGTTATATTTAAAGCAGCAGCCCATTTTCACCATCTGGGAACATAGGCTGTATTTCAGAGGCTGGTCTGAGACCAGCAAGGTCCAGGACAAGAGTGCCTAAAGAGGAACTTGGAAGCCACGTGTAGGCCTATGCTGGACCTTCCAAGTCAGCCTAGCAGAGAAGATATGGAGCTTCCAGATCAGCCCTTAGCTTCTGGGTCAGGCTAGTCAGACCACATACCCCTGCTGGTGCAGGAGTCTGTACTCCAACCTGCCAGGGGGCATGGGGAACACGATTTTCATGTCATCAAAACTGAGTTCTTATAAGTCAAGACTGAATGTCAGTCAGGGCTTGTCTTAGCAGGTGGAATGGTGTCTGGCCCTTAGAACTCAGAAAGTGTCACTCAGGTTATAAAAAAGAGAAGCGCCTGGGTACTAGCACTCAAGTGTTTCTAGGATATTGAGGTTTTGCTAGGATTTCCCTGGGAAGTGGGCCAGGAGTGACTGTCATAAGTTTGAGTGCTGTATTTAGATGGTCCCTGCCTCCCAGTGATGGCCTTCTTTGTTTTCCTGGCAGTCACTCTGTTGTTTGCAGGAGTGTGCAGAGGGCTAGGAAAGCCAAGGAGGCTTGGCGGCTTCTGCCCAGGGACTTATCCAAAGTTTTCTGCCTCCATCACAGGACGCTGCCCGCCGAGCTCAGGAGCTGGAGATGGAGATGCTGTCAAGCACCAGTCCACCAGAGAGGACTCGGTATAGCCCCATCCCTCCCAGTCACCACCAGCTAACTCTCCCTGATCCATCCCATCACGGCCTCCATAGCAACCCTGACAGTCCTGCCAAGCCAGAGAAGAATGGGCATGCCAAGATTGCCAACCCCAAGATTGCCAAGTTCTTTGAGATCCAGACCATGCCCAATGGCAAAACCCGGACCTCCCTTAAGACAATAAGCCGCAGGAAGCTCTCTCAGCAGAAGGAGAAGAAAGCCACTCAGATGCTTGCCATTGTTCTTGGTGAGTCAGATCCAGCTGATGGCAACAGCCATGCCATGCACAGCTTTGGCAGGGGAAAGGGTAATCCCTGAAGGTTCCAGTCTCTGCCTTGATGACCATGGCTGGTCATATATTGGGTACTTCCTTACATTCAAATAGTCAATATTCAGTAGAATCTCCTATTGTGCCTACTGAGCAGAAGGGCAAACCAGGATTTAGTGTAGTTACACAACTTTACCATGGTCATCTCAGGTAGTTTGACTACAGTGTCTGAGCTTCACTGGTCTATGGTAAAGCACCATAGCTTGTGTTCCAGGTTGTGTCTGTGAAGTAAGATGCCTCTCAGATTTTTTGTAATAGTCAGGATAGCACAGGGTTGGGAAAGTACCACATATGTGAGTTATTATGCGTTTTGTTGCTATTTCTATTGATGAATTTGGAAACATACATTTTTACTCGAACAAGTACCCATGGGATAAAACTGTGAAAAATAAGATGGGACCTTGAGAGGTGACTCTAACTTTTATGGGCTAGAGGGGCAACTAAACTGGTAAAGGCACTAGCCACCACCAAGCCTGACAACCTGAGTTCAATCCCTCAGTTCCATATAGTGATCTGAGAGAATCAATTCCCACAAGTTGTCCTCTGATCTCCATGTGTTACATAGACGCACACACACACACACACACACACACACACACACACACAAAGAGTGCAAATTTTTAACTTCTAGGATATTGTGTAATGAAAGACAAAACCTAGGAAGTAAGAAGACTGATAGAGACAGTTGGGGAAAGGGGGGTAGGGTGTGAATTTGCCATCTGTGTGGCACTGGGATCCCATCTGATGGTCTGGAAATCCTGGCGAATGAATGGGCAGGTTCTTATGCCTATCCCCACCCCCCCACCCCTGCTCAGAAGCACAGGCCCCAGAAGGGCAAGGGATTATTTTCCACTTATCTGGGATGTGGCAGGGGGGATTTGAGCAATCTATGTGGCAGTCCACCAGTTATACTCCAGGGTCTTGTTACTCCAAGACAATACTTTGTCCCTAAAACATCCTCATACACCTACACACTGAGTGTCAAACTGGAGCAAGTAGTCCTAAGACCCGCCTGTGTAAGAAGGCATGGTCTTCTGGTAGGACCAAATAAAGGTGTGTCTACCAACACAGAACAATCTTGGGAAAGACTGGAGCAAGAACCTTGCCATTTGAGGGACCTAGACAGATGGGGATCAGGTACCAGTTGTGTTATTCAATAGTAAAGTGGCCCCAGGGACATTGTGGAGCCAGCATGCAATTTAGTTTCCCATTGAATTCAAGGGGTGATCATGAAAATTAAGTAAAATGGGTATTTAGCTCTCTCTTTTCCTAAATTGTAGTCCCACACTGCTGAGAACAAATTCTTTCTAGTGTCACCAGCTTGAAGATAACATTATTCCCAACGGTAACTGGGAAGTAGTCTGTGTGTCCGTTTTCAGAGACTGACTAGGAACAAGAGGCTAACATTTCCCACTAGTTTTCAAGCCCCTTCCTTCCCTAGCAGGCAGAAGCCATGTCCATTCAGCAGATGAGCAAAAAATAAGTCTAAGGAAGGTGCAGGGACCCTTCCCTATACATTAGTGTCAGAAGCAGGATGCTTAGATCTGAGACCAGGGCTTCTTTTGCTGTGATCCTGGGGCTACTGCATGCAGTTAGAAGTCTTGGTGCCCCAGGGAAGCCTGTGGCAGAGCAGATAGGTGTACAGGGAGCAGGGCCCACCCAGGCCAGGCTCTCCTGGGCCTGGGGCCCGCCTGACCTTGCCCTCTTCCCAGGTGTGTTCATCATCTGCTGGCTGCCCTTCTTCATCACGCACATCCTGAACATACACTGTGACTGCAACATCCCGCCAGTCCTCTACAGCGCCTTCACGTGGCTGGGCTATGTCAACAGTGCTGTGAACCCTATCATCTACACCACCTTCAACATCGAGTTCCGCAAGGCCTTCATGAAGATCCTGCACTGCTGAGTCTGCCCCTCGCCTGCACAGCAGCTGCTTCCCGCCTCCCTGCCTAGGCAGGCCAGACCTCATCCCTGCAAGCTGTGGGCAGAAAGGCCCAGATGGACCTGGCCTTCTCTTGACCCTGCAGGCCCTGCAGTGTTAGCTTGGCTCGGTGCCCCTCTCTGCCCACACACCCTCATCCTGCCAGGGTAGGTCCAGGGAGATTGGTATCCTACAAGCTCTGGGGTTTGACCCATGGCTGCGGGCAGCTCACAGAGTGCCCCCTCTCACATCCAGACCCCATCTCCATGGCACCAAAGATGTGGCAAGCAGTCTTCCTTGACCTTTCTCGGGTGGCACCGGAGTTGCTGAGGCCAGAATCCAGCTCAGTGCCGAGCACACCCTGATTGTCGGCTTGACCTGGCCCTTGATTGCCTCTGTTGGATCAGGTGATGGAAGGACAGTTGAGACTTCACAGGGAGTACACAGGAAAGCAGGGAACACGCCAAGGCCCCCGGCAACATTAGTGTTGGGAGACACACATAAATATCAGATAGCTCCACAGACCCCAGAGAAATTGAGGCTGAAAACCTGTTTTATACCCCAACTCCAGAGTGAACCCCATTTCATAGCAGTGGGTACCACTGTGTCCTACCCTTTATAGCACCCCATATGGCTTCTGTACCCTTTGAGGGGGACAACTCTAATCCTCAAGGGCGATAAGGAGAAAAGTAGCTGATCTCTCTCTACCCTTCAACCCACCCTGTCACCCCCTGACAAGTCTTGAACAGATCCATTCCTCACAGCAAATGCTGGCCAGCCTGGGAAGTCAGGCCTCGAACCCATGGTGGGGCTCAAGTAGGAAGTGGTAACTTGGGACTCTTTGGGAGAGTGGGCAGCCTCCTGTCACTTCCCTGCTGATCTCTTCTCTTTCCAATTTCTCTTCCTTTCCAGTGCCTCTGCCTTAGAGGGGACTATGGGTAGGAGGCCACTGACGCTATTGGACATGGCATAGTCCAGCCCTGAAGGGGGAGGGGAAGCTTCAGCTTGGAGGGCCCTGGGCTCCAACTCTGTAACATCACTGTACATGCACCAAACCAATAAAACGTTGACAAGAGTCATTCCCATTGGCCCTTGGGTGGCCTGGAACACCACCAACACTGTCTTCAACATTTAGATATAGCATAAAGTGGACAACGATAAGAGGAAATCCAGCTATCTTCAGCTCCCTGGAGCCTTGTACCTCTGAAGGACCAATCTTAGCCATCAAGGCAGAGATAGCTCCATGGTGAAGGTGTTCTCTGAGGTGTTGGCTTTGCTTGCATCTGTCTGTTCCTTGCCCATTCTCTGTTGTGGGTAGTATAAGGCAGGGAACGTCTGAAGGCAGCGGCCTAGACAAATGTCCTTCTTCCCACTTCCAGGCTTGTTCATAGCTCCAAACTTTCAAGGTCTGCAGGCTGGCACTGCCCTGGCAATGGAAACTTGACTCCTTAGAAGAGAACTAGAAATCAACCCAGTGAAAGAGGAATGTTCTTGGCACCTTAAAAATCAGGAATAATGACAAACAAGGTAGTGGCACCCACGGGCTGAGGCTCTGGGGAGCTGTCAGGGCATAATTTGCATGCTAAATATAATATTTTTAGCACCAAAGTTTGGAGCACTTAACTTGCCCTGAGCATTTAATTATGGACTTGGATCTTCTTGCTGAACTTGAACATAGTGCTAAACCTTGGGAAAGGCTCCTGTCCCCAGGAGCACCCTAGTGCCAGAAGCTAAGCTAAGCAGGTTCCCTAGGGTAACTAAGGGCCACCAATAACTTGATGGCAATCTCCTGAGGTGGATCAAACCCCCATTGTGTCCAGAAACCCTAGGAAACTATCTGCTGCTGATACCCACCTAATAATCACCCCCACACCACACACACACATACACACACACACACACACACACACACACACACACACACACACACGCATGCACGCACGCCATGCTGTCAGCCTAAGGATGGATGATGTTGGCCTGGCTGGGAGAGTCAAAGTTTGTTTCATCATTAGAGGTCTCATGAGGGCATTCGAATTTACCAGCTGTGAAACCTAGAGATGAGACAGAGACAGAGACAGAGACAGAGAGAGAAAGGGGAAGGGAGGCCCTGAAAGTGGGGTGGGGAGGCAAGCCCCAGAGAAATCAGAGAAGAACCCTGTCAGAAAGAAGAGGGGAAGAGGGCAGGGCATGGGCGGGAGGCGGGGCAGGAGAGAGTTGCCCACAATTGTCAGGAGGCTTCAAGTCTTTCTTCCAGACAGCAGATTGACAGCTAGAGTGGGCAGGGGGAGGGCTGGGCTCCACCCTCTCCCCCCTTAAGCACTTGGGAGCAAGGGATGGGAGGAGTGGTACCCAAAAACACATAGCAGAAAGGGGTATCCCAGGCTCTGGCTCTTTAAAAAAGCCCCACCCCTGCTCCTCTTGGTGGGTTTGGGAAGGAAGCACTCAGCCTTTCCCTCCCCATTTCCTTTCCCTGACATTGCCAGTGTCCTCACATACCTGGAAACCATTCCTAGACCATCCTTGACACCAGAGACGACATGGCTTCTTCCTTCAGCTGTAGCCCAGTCTTCCCTGTGCCAAATGGTTCACTGTCCTCCTGGGTGCAAAGACACAGTCTGTATCTGTGGCTTCAGAATCTATCTGTACAGAGCATCTTTGGACTTTGCTTTTCCTAGTAGTCCTCTCCTCCTGTCCCAGGAGGCCATTGCTGTGCCCTGGACTCACTTGAGGAGTTGGTGTGCCTGGATGGGTGACAGCCCAGACCCCTGATTGAATCTTATGCCATCTATTCTGTGCAGTGCGGTTAGAAGTGGCTTAATGGGGGCAGATTTAGTTTTTATTTAATCTTCTCTTTTTAGATAGGAAAAGAAAACCCCTGTGAGACCAGACCTTTATGGTGGTACCCAAGGGTCCATGCAGAAGCTATTTCTGCTCAGCGTCAGGTGGTGGAAAAAGAGCAGGGACAATGTCAGCAATGGCAAGGGGCTAGAGTCTGGGTGTTTAATGTTTCTGAGGGTCCTTTCCTGTTTGCTACATGTCTATAGCTCTGCTACACCAAGCGAAACAGGAAGCTGGTACAGAGAAAATACAGTATCTTCTAGGTGAGAAGACCTAAGTGACCCATCCTCAGCATTATGGATGATTCAGGGAAGACCACAATAAGAATAGATTCTATTCCCATCTTAACACTGCCCAGGTTACTTCCAGAGCAGGGAGCAGAGTGATGGCTGCTGCTCTCCCCAGAGAGACCTTTTACCCCCAGGTGGAACCATAAAGAGCCCAAGTTCATTTTTAAAAAAAAAAAGTTCACCACAGAGGTTGATGGGCATGTAGCTTAGCTGGTAGAGTGCATGAAGCCCCAAGTTGAGGTCAATCCTTAGTACCCCAGACATTAGGAGTACACACACACACACACACACACACACACACACACACACACACAATTCTAGCACTTGGAAGGAAGAGTCAAGAGGGCTCATGCAAGTGTGAGGCTAACATAGCAAGTTCCAAGCCAGCTAGGGCCATATAGCAAGCCCATCTCAAGAAAAGAAAAGAGAAGGAAAGGGCCAGCCATTACTTTGGAACTTTGTGTTATGGACACATATAACCTTCCACCCTAAGACTTGGAAGTGAGCTGACACAGAGAGAGGAAGCCAGCCACCCAGGTAGAGGTCAGATGGAGAGCTCCAATCATGTGGGGGAGGAGGCAGAACCATTTAGAGATAAGAGAAGTGGAATTTATGAAGACACCAAGCTAAGAAGCCATACCATTACCTTCAGAGTTATCTTGGTAGCCTCACCTCCAAACACTGTTTTGCTGCCCCAGGCATGTACAGTGTGAGGAAGTGAGCCACAGGGAGGCCATGCTCTGAGCTTCATCTAGGGCAGGGTTAGGCCAAGAGAGGAAGGTCAGAGACACACCCAGAGCCAGAAAAGCTGGTAGCATGGGTTGATCTTGCCTCTCCTTCCTGTCAACCCTTAGGTAGTACCACATCCTCTTCCTACCTCCATCCTTTTCTTGAAGTCACTTCATCCATCATCCGACTGCCCCTTATTGCATCAGAGCCTCTGCCTGCACCCTGCCCTGCTCTTATACATGCAGACACAGTGCTTTGGTTTGATCTGCACTAAGCTGTTGACTGTTGGGGCATTTTGTACTATAGTCTGCAGATCATCTTAACCACCATGCCTCTACAGTCACTACTAGTGAGCTAGGGGATTGTCCTTGCCTTGTAGTGACTCTGCACTATTGTAGGTGTGTTCCAAGATCACAGCACATCCCAAGGCCCAGAAAGCATCACCTTTCCTTTCCAGATGGGAAACTAGGCAGCTGTGCCCTGGAGCATAGATCTAACACAAGCCACCACCACCCCCCCAAGCCTGATAATCTGTACTGTATTCCAAGTGAAAAATTCCTCTTGTTTAGGAGAAGCTGAAACGTTGAGTGCTTAGTAACTGCCTTGCCATTTCATAGGCTTGGCATCAGATTCAACCATGACAACACCCTAAGGACACAAGCTCTGCTAAGTACTGTGACTGAAACAAAGGAACTTTCAGCAACTTGGTCATGCAAGGCTGTGACCCAGGAAAGCTTTGAATTTAGATCTCCTGCATGGGCCTACCCTACTAACCTTTCCCAACTTCCTTCTCTAGCTTCCCTCCCCTGCCACAGGCTAGCCTGGCTCCCACCCTTTGTCCTTACCAGACATTGCACAAAACCTTCCAGCTCCCATTGCCTATAATCTGACTAAGCACTACTGATAATACATGTGTCTCCTGCACACTAAGGGTGTGTGTGTGGGGGAATAGGATGTAGAAACAGGTTGTAAATCCAGGCAAGCAATAGGGCAGACAGCAAGTGGTGTCAACCAATGCCTTCAAGAGGGATGCCTGTCTCCAACAGGGCAAGCAGGAAAAGCTTCATATCCAGAAATAAGTGGGCAGGATCTGGGCAAGGGCTATGTAGGACCCCATCAGGCATAGTT